CATCTTAAAACCCCATTTATGAGTCGCAATCGCCAGGCATTATCTGGGCGGGCCAAGGCGAATCCTGACATGGGGGAAAGTTACACTACTTAGTGTCATTCGCTTCTGTCTAGACTCTACTGTAGAATCGCCTTACTGCGTGAGTTCACTGTGAGAAGGGACCGCAAGGCCAAGCCGTAAGGTAAGGCAGGTATAATACGGGTGATGCTATTGATGTCGACACACTACCATATTCCGCCATTCATACGTGTCCGTAGTAAGGTACCTTACGCAGTACCTGGCTACCTACCTTTGTACGAAGTAGGTACGGATACACCTTGGGCTTAACACACGATGCTAAGGTAAGCCGTGGTACCTTGCATGATTACCTCATCGTCCGTCTGACTGCACTTGATAGTATTAGGAAGTAACAACCAGTATCGATTGGTCCAATTGGTGACTTCCCATAGGTTGTGCTTGGCAGTTGGCTGCCTTCCCAACTGGGGTTGCTAAGGCTGACTTGAGACGACTAACGTCTGAAGACGACTGCCGTGCCTGTTTTACCACACCACACCCGATGGCACGACGGCATTCCCGCTCATCCCAAACTCCATACTCCATTCCACATCCGTCACTTCAATGCGAACCTCTTGCCATCATCAGTCCCATTTCGTGACTTTTCGTCCCATCATCCTGCCACATCCATCACGCACATCTTCCGTCTTGAGCCCACTACACCTCCATCCGCGTTGCAACCAAACCCCAACTTGATATTCCTCCTCCCCGACGACCCCCCTCCCATGACCCATGGCCCATGGCCCATCTGTTCGAAATAGCATCATCGATGGGCTAATTATACACACATTCTCTTTTTTGGCCCCATGTCAGCCCAGTGACAGCCCAGGCCAGTCCCAGCTTTCCCCTCCTCCCCGAACCTGCTCATGCTCATCCCCGCCATGCATGCCATGCTCGGTTCATCCATCGTATCGTGGATATGGCATACCGCATGGCATGGCATGGCCATCATCGAGATGACCACCATCACCACGTGCCCTTGACTGGCCTCTTTGCGCCAACTTTCAAGGCCCTGCCCTGCCCTGACCTCGTCTTCCTCCCCGTCCCGCCATCACGGAACCCGCGGCGAAAGCTATCTACTATAGCTCTCACCAAACTCGTCTGGTCTACATCCTCGCTGCAGAACCTTACAATAGATCTTCTAGAACATGGTCAGCAGGGACAAACGCCGCTCTACCTTCTTGAATGTACTCTATCTTGCGAAGCTGCTGGAGCTTGTTGCAAGTGCTTTGCCTGTATTAGACAGCTTTGGTGATAGACAGGGTCTAGTTGGTCTGGGTATTGGCTCATTGTCCCTTGCGCGGCTCTCCAATAAGTCGACGAGAAATCCCTCCCGATAGGATCAAGGATGGCAGTTCGTGTCAAGAAAAAAGACCCTGCCCGTGCCGCATCCGCGACGGCTGCCCGCAGACAAAGAATGGAAAAGCAGTTGGTCGGGGGTGCAGCAATCACCGACCGCCTCTTGGCGACGTGATAGCAAACTACCTTGCTGACACCACACAACAACCTAGTCTAGCAACCAACGACAAATCACAGGTTTCTCCGGGGCTGAGGAGGAGGGGCGCATGAGAGAACTCTCAAAACCTAGAACCCGAAGGTATACAGAGGGAACTTACGCGCGACCTCGGTCTCGATTTCATTGTTCGCGAAGAGAAAAAGGCTGTGCCGCGTGCGGAGTTTTGAAAATCATTTACATGCTGCCAAACAGCCTTCGCGTCACACATGGTTCGAATCCACCAACCGCTGGAGATTCCGTCGTTTCTCGCCATGTTTGACGATGGGTGGAATGGTCTACCACCCCTCTCTTCCCTTTCTATGCCATGGCTGCTATCGTTTGCGGCTCTCCATCTCGCCCTCAAATCCCTCCCTACGTAGTGTTGCAGACGTTACGCGTCTTCCCGTCCATCTGGAGCAAGCCCAATTCTTTTGTTCTGCTCCCCCGCACCGCCGCGTTTCACATCGTGACCATTCCCGAAAAAGGAAGTCTTTCCAAGGTCCAACGAAGGGGAGGGGGGCCAGCTTGTTACGTATGTGTGCGTATGTGTATGTGTGTGTCTGCATGTTTGTAGAGGCCGCCGCGGGAGACTCGGGGATGCGTGACAAACGGATTGCTCGTCATCGGGAGGGAGGCTCGTTCCAGGCGGGGAGGGGGTATCAACGATCGACGTTCGGCCGGTAAATCTCCCTTCAATGATGTTCGGATCTGAGAGCATGGTGCAAGGAAGGAGGGAAGAGGGGAGGGAGGATTTGTGATCTCTGCCGTCGGAGACGGTCGGGCAGCGCAGGATCCGGTGGTTCATAGTAGGCAAATCGTAGCTCTAGCTTCTCATTGCCTGATCAGCCGCTCATTTGAGGCTCGAAAGAAGGCATTATACCGAGGGAAAGGGCTGCCAAACTCGTCCAACCACTTGAAGTTTTGCCGTGGCCCTTTTTCCTTGTCGTTGGTGGGTTTTTTGACACCTCCCACTCGGCATTGGGCTTTGGGACGGGCTCCCACCCAAGACGGGAGGAGAAGAAGCCCCTTCTTCCCGCACACCGGCGACGTCTTGTTCGGTTCGGACTACACATGTCCCCCGGTGGCGGGCGGGCGTTTGGCCAACTACGCGTGCGTGTTCGGGGATGGGAGCCACAAGTCCTCGGAGGTCAGCGTGACCCACGCCGCTTCGTTTTGCCCTCCCGCTGTCCCGAGTGTCCGATATATTGGTCTCTCTTCTCTCGGGAAGTCTCTTTCAAACTGCACTGCCTTCTTCCATTCCGTTCACGGTTGCGATACACAACCCCACACCGCGGCCTGGCTTCTTGGCTCGGCTTCAGATGGGGGGAGTCAGGGTGGAGGCTGAGAGGGCGGGATGGGAATACGTGGATTCGCGTCGAGACAGGCACGTTCGGGTTTCCCACGTAAACAGGTTCGACGTCGTCATGCGTAGTTACAGAAACCACGTGGAACGGGGCTGGGCCAACCTAACCTTGGCTTCGGATTTTCCCCCTCTCATGCCACCATCAGATGTGTCGACATCGTTTGGCGATGCCGGAGAAACTAGCATCATGTTTTCCCGTGGATGTTGTTTACCTCTTACCAAGATTTCCTGTCTCTGTGCCAGGCACGCACGGCACGCCGTAGATCATGAAACTCTCAATCCGATGTATATATGGGGGGCCAAGTGGCGAAGAAACGTTGCGGGCGTCTGTGAACTGCCGTCCCAAGTTACGTGTAGATCAGTTCTGGACCGGGCTTCGTTCGGATGACTTTTTTTGGTCTTTGTTCCTGGGGGAGGATAGGCATGACGGGACGACATCATCGTCGTATGTCATCTTATTCCTGAATCAAGAAGTGTAGACCGGATGATATTCATAGCTTCGGCCCATCTTGGAAGCTATGGAGGTCCCTATTCAAGTTTTTGAGAGTCTGGCAGGATTGCCGCGTTCTTGGTATTGCTTCATACCCCCTCATGACATGTTTTGGCTCCTCAACCTTGCGGGAATACCATACATATACCATCTGAGTTTGCTGTTTCTCTGAAGCTCGGCCGGTGGGAGCATTGCTTTGCCGAGACTTATTGTCTGGTGGTGAATAACCAGCAATTGGGACCCTTGAACTGTTTATCTCACCTTGGTTTACTCGACCAGATGTTGCAGGTTGATGAATATCTCGGAGCTGGGATCTAAGCTTCAGAGAAACACAAGTATCCCCATGCGTCTGTTAAGTGTACATATGTTGTTCGTTCAACTTACCATTCTGAGAATACATCTCGTGCGAGAAACATCCAGTTCCCTGCGCTACCCCTTTTCGAGGGTGGCGAATAGAGGTTATCAACCCGCGACTTGGTGTCTTTTCACGTGCTGTAACTATGGCTGACCACTTGCTCAAGATGTTTCCATGATTCCCACGTGTTTGATGTGTTTCTAAAACAAATGATGGTGGGCTGTGGATGGTTCAATGGCCTGACATCCCGTCCCGTCCTGAAGTCCAGCCTTGAATACTCTGGGGTAAAGGAGTCGGGGGGAAACCTTAGCCCCTATTTGCACCTACTTTCGAAACTTGCCGCCCCTTGAGCTCGGAAATTGCTGCTGTAGTCGAAACTTGGCTTCCAATGAATGAGTTCAGAATGGGTTCTGTCTATGTTTTGGAGGGAACTGCTTGCAGCGAGTTGGACGCCCAGGCGTGTACACTCTTTCGTAGCTCAAAGGCATTTGGAAGAATTCAATATGGGTTTCCAAAGATACTTGGGTCCAATGGTAGTGTTATGTGCAGATGAAAGCAGCATGGGATCCTCTGGCAAATATGTCTGTTCTCACACTTCTTCCAAAGTGATCATAGGCGCCCAGAAAGACTTCCCCTTTAGCGTATACTAGCATATACGTATCTCCTTGACTGAGTCCTGCAACAAGACTCTTTAACTATACAGAGCTTTTGCTGAAAAAGGGCACCCCTTTAGACCGTTCAGCCGCATCACCAGCAACATCCCGAACAGCGAAGTCATCAAGGTCAGAGCCGCCCAAGTTTTTTGGGCTGCCATAGCTTTTGAACCTTCTGGCTCATGTCACGCCTAAATTGGTCCGTGACTCTGGCGGGTTTGTCACTCATAGGTAGTACCTCATACTTTATTACTTATTATCATTTGAGAATGTGCGAGACTATGGGTTCGTTTTTCGCTATTATTTTGAGATGTTCAAGTCATCAGATGATGTTAACCCATCCAATTTGAGTGCTTGTACGGGTATTTTGTTACCTAGGGCATATATATACCCGTTATTCATCTCATCAGCTTTTGAGCCTGTTGGTGTGAACTAGAGGAGTTCCCGCGTGCATAGTTGTTTGACAGAGTGAGCTCGGATGAGTCTGCTTCAAGTGAGAATACACAGTTCGCTTCGTCAATGTAATCTGTGATTCAACGCACGTGGACATGCGTGAAGTCAAAGACTTACTTCATGGTGACAAATGTCTTGTGCGTTGCGATGTATCCAATTCTTGAGCTTACTACTGAGAACTATCTATCACTTTACGTATTAGATGGTCCGACTTATTAGTCCAATTTGCTCAACATCAGCTCCAACATCCCATCTCTGCTTTAGTAGTCGTAAAATCCCTTTCCGCTCTTCTTTCCCATCCAACCAGCATCAACCATCTTGCGCAGCAACACACTCGGCCGGTACTTTGAGTCACCAGTCTCCTCGTGAAGAACCTTCATAATAGCGAGGCAGGTGTCCAGACCGATAAAGTCGGCAAGCTGCAGAGGGCCCATGGGGACATTGGTGCCATTCTTCATGATGGCGTCGATTGACTCCTTGTCGCCGACGCCAGTCTCCAGGCAGATGATGGCTTCGTTGATGTACGGCATGAGAATACGGTTCGCGAGGAATCCGGGGGAGTCGGCGGACACAGAGGTGACCTTGCCCATGGCCTTGCAGAAGGCGACGGCCTTGTCCAGCGTCTCCTGGCTGGTCTGCAGACCGCTGATGATCTCGACGCCCTTCTGGATCGGGACGGGGTTCATGAAGTGGGTTGAGACGACGCGGGAGCTCGCGGAGGTGTCTGTCGGGTCTTGGGTGGTGGAGGCGGCGATGCGGGTGATGGAGATGGATGAAGTGTTCGTGGCCAAGATGGCATGCTTCGGGCAAACCTCAGCCAGCTTGGAGAAGATGTCAAACTTGAGCTTGGGGATTTCAGGAACGGCTTCAATGACAAAGTCCACATCCGACAGCTCATCAATTGACGTGGCTGGGGACAACAGCGAGCGGGCCTTGTCGGCCTGTTCCTGTGTGATTCTGGACTTGGAAACATCCTTTGCAAGAAGCTTTTCTGTTGAGTTGTTAGCGAACGAAACTCGTTACCAGTGTGTCGTTGAATACTTACCCGCAAATGCAAGACCCTTATCCAAGGCCGTCTTGTTTGCATCGACAAGTGTTACGGGAACTTGAGCTCTCTGAGCAGCCACAAGCGCGATGCCGAGTCCCTAGATTTGAACCCGTCAGTTTTCTGGATGCCGCATATTCACATGCTAATTCGCGAGCTCTCTCACCATCTGCCCAGCACCGATGACACCCAACCGCTTCACCCCCCCCGTTGCAGAAGCAACTCTGGGAGTAGAGCTGAATGTCCGAAGCTGCCCTGGAAGCTTGGCCACCGCCCGTACGCGAGCAATTGAAGTCGCCATAGTTAACAAGGTGAGCGAAACGTGAGTGTGCAGGGATTAAGATCTCGGTGATATTCGAGTAAGCTCCGCTGTGGCCGCGTGAGGGATTGAATGGAAGTTCACGAGGAGTAAGTGAGCAAGATACAATAAATGATAAGGGGAATAAAACTCTACGAGTCTGATTTGAAGTACTGTTAAGATTGAAGTACAGAACGGAAGTCCGTGGACAGATGTCGTTGCTTGTTCAGGGCCATGATGCTGTCCATGACCCGAGGTTAACCGCGGCCCCCTAATAAGCCCCAAAGCCCAGAGCTAAAGCAGGTACCTTTCGGTCCGCGCGCCATACATGGACCTTATCTAATCTTCAGTATCGATAACACACAAGGTGGGGCCAATTAACGCAACTTTCTGTTAGGACGCGCTGCATCGCGTCGGACGCGTCGCTAGGTGAACCAGGGCAGGTCTGTCCCTCCAAGGCTTTTCATCATCGTCATTATTGGCGTGTAGATGGAGACACCACCAAGCCTCAATTGCAATCTACCATTGTCTTGAATACCGCCAGAACCGACAAGATGGAGTTGCCGGACGGGTCAACAGAAGTTGTCCACCCTGAAGTTCGTGCGCACATCAACAGTCTTGTGTCCGCGGTACGTTCTGGCCAGCCGAGATTTCCTCCCCGAAATCGTTGTACATTGACTTTAACATGAAGATAGCTCGGTGGCACCAGCGCCGACGACGATGGACGATACAGACTTGGTGACGACGCCGTCCAGGTCCTCCGCGATTTGAAGAAATGGATTCGGCACTACGACGAAAAGACCAATCGCATGGATGTAGCCCGATGCATCGCAGACTCCAACATCGTGGAAGGCGACCTTCTTCAGATCCTCGCGAGCTGGCCCGAGAACGATACCAACAACACATTCAAGGCACGTATAGCTCTAGCCTGCTTCGAGATCATGGTGCCCCTCACTTGGCCCATGGAAAGAGATGCCGAACGAATGACGGTCAATCACCATCGCCATATGCCTGTTCTCGAGCTGGCGCAAGTGGGATACAAGCGGGCCATCATCAACTTTGACGGCGCTCAAGTTCTCAATACAGCTATCCGGGCAGCTCTACCATCTATGGCGATCTCCATTGGCGAACGATCAGCCCGTGACCAGGGCATCATCAAGCTTGTGCTTTTCTTCCTCCGCAACATCGCCATGATTACCCCTCCTGCCGGTGTCCAATACGATGGCGACGAGACACAAATATCCCGCTCCACGACGATAGACGCGTTTTCATTTCAGGATATCTTTGCGGTGTTGCTGATGATTGCTTCGAACATGGGCGAAGACTTCCGTACCGAGGATGTAATTCTCATGGAAGTCATTTACCACCTGGTCAAACAGGTCGAGGTCAAGAAGCTGTTCATGAATGAACAGCAATTACACAAGACGAAGGCTAAAGAGCTCTCCTCAATGATGAAAAAGGAGAGCGCGATGCGCAGTGCATTCAACCGCAAGGCGCCCACCCGCCACAACCGTTTTGGCACCATGGTATGGATGCAGCGCGAAGACGGCCGGGTATCGACAATCACTGGTCAGGATGCGCTCGCAGACAGCGCTACGCGACAAAAGAAACTAGACGAGTCCAAAACGTTTAAGCCACCGCGACGGGCCAAGAAGGAAGAGCTGGAATCCAAGGACCTCGGTGCCCCAGTCAAGCTCAATGCAAGGGCTAACGACCAGCTCCGAAGCTTTGTCGAAGACTTCCTTGATGCTGGTTTCAACCCTTTGTTCGTGCATGTTCGCAAGTCCTTGGATCGGGAAGCGCCCCATGTTCTGTCTTACCATCGCCGACAGTACATGTATCTTGTAGCCTGGTTTCTGGAGGCGGAGCGAACTCGTAGGAAGTCAAAACGAGACTCGAAGAAGGCAGGCGCCCCCGAAGAGGTCAGCAGCTTCAATCTCGTGGCCGGCGTGCTGGACCAAGCAATGTTCATCACTCTCACAAAGACTATGCACGACTCTTGGGAACATAAGGATTGGCCTACCCTGACGGCTGCGATGCGGTGTTTCACGCAGATTCTGCTCACAGTCCAAGAAATGACAGAGTCAGGAAACGAAGACGACGAGGAGATTGCAGAAAACACGCTGAGTCGTCTCTTCTACGAAGACTCCACACACGACTTGATTGCCAATGTCGTCAGACAATACAAGGAGCAAGGCTTTGAGTATCTCGACACCGCCACAGAGCTGGTGCATCACTTCTTGCGAATTTTGGAGGCCTACTCGAAACAAAATGTCGACATGCAAGTTCGGTCTCGTAAACGGACTCGGCGAAAGAAGAAAGCCGAGAAAGAAGCAGGTATCGATACAGTTGATGACGAGGAGAACGACGAGTCCGCCAACGACGAGGCGAATGCCGAAAAGACGTCCAAAGAGCGCAAGTTCGACTTCCATCGGTTCACATCGCGCTTTGCCCCCCAAGGTGTGGTCGATACTTTTGTCGCCTTTACCAAATTTTACAAGGACCTCGACGACTCTCAGCTGAAGCGCGCTCACCGATACTTCTATCGCATAGCCTTCAAACAAGAGATGAGCGTCATGCTCTTCCGCGTTGATATTGTGCATCTCTTTTACAACATGATCAAGGGGCCGGAACCGCTCGACAGGAACTCTACCATGTACAAGGAGTGGGAAGAACTGACCAAGCAAATCCTCAGAAAGTGCACGCGCAAGATTGAGCAGCGGCCCGAACTCATAATTGAGATGCTGTTCTCCAAGATTAGCAGCACCGCCTTTTACCTGGAATACGGCTATGAGAAACAGACTTTATCGACATCAACACCTCGGCCCGCTGCAGAACTCGAGTTCAAGTACGCTGCGGATCTGGACCGGCAAATCGCCATCGTCGTTGGCGCTCTGCTTGACAAAAATCAACAGGATCATATCTCGTGGGTCAAGAAAGTTCTTGATACTGCGGAAAAGGAGCGTGCTGCCTGGGAGGCGGCTGATTTCCTCATACCATCGGTCGAGGGCACCGGCGAGGGCGCACAAATCGATAGACACCCTTTTAGTAAGTACCTCCTCAGGCAACCACACTGGTTGATCTCTCTAACATGTACCAGCTGTGCGACCGGACAATGATGCCCGCAAGACTGCCATATTCAAGAATTCCCACCTGCGTCTACTCATGAAGCTAGTTGGTTTTGAGAGGCTAGCACCGACTATCGAGGAGACACCCCAGTCCGTATGGATCCTGCCACCAGATCTTAGTGCCAGTCTCCTTCGTGTGTATATCAAGCACATCAACGATGCCGAGTTTGATCCACCCGCCTTTGATGGTGCCAGCGCAGAGGATCAGCTTCGCCGCAAGAAAGCAGCCCGAAAGCGAGCCGAGTACGATGACGACGATGATGATGTTGATGACGGCTTCCTCTTTGAACCCCTGGGCCCTACCGTCCGCAAAGCTATCGACGACCTCGCTTCCAAAAAGACGAAGCGGAGGAGGCGCAGAAAAGACAGCGAAGATGAGGAGGCGCCGAATGATTCCGAGTTGGAAGAAAAGGCCCAGAAGCGCAGAGAACGCGAGAGAGAAAAGGCGAGAAAGATCAAGAGCGAAGCGTACGTCCACGCTAGCGATGACGACACGGACGAGGAGTACGATCGCGAGTTCTTCCAACGTGAAGAGGCACAACGCTCGCGATTGGCTCGTATCGTGGAGAAGATTGCGATATCGGAGCCGACCAAGAGACCAGCAGCGGTGCTGCTCGATGATAGCGACGACAATGACGATGATGTCCTCGCTGTGACGAGGGGCACTCAGTCTACCCGGCCGAGTGCCGATGTTGATATGGATGCCAATAGCGACGGCGAGCAGAATGGAGACAATGCTACGCCATTGAGCTCCAGTCCGTCTTCCTCTCAAGGAAAGGGATCTCGGAAACGGAGACGCATCACTCCTGAGGCTGCTACTGCCGAAGAAGGTGCGAAGGCTCCAGAGAAGGCAGATGCCGATTCTGATGACGAAGATGCGCCGGTGCCTACAGCACGCTCACGGCAGCGCACCAGAGGAGGCTTCGTGATGGAGAGTAGTGATGAGGAATAATGAAGATAAGCTCTGGGCGTTTGGGTACATGGGTTTTCGGTGGTTCTAGGATGCATAGCGTAGGAAGGTATCTTGGCGATAATATCAAGTTGTGTTCCCGTCTTCACACCGTCTTCGAAGGTAATTCAGCTCGCTAGATTTCGCTAGCTCGTGTTTTGTGAGTCTATGCAGATGACCTGTTTAACAAGACTTGTCTTCCTCTCTGATCGTCGGCTGACTTGAGTTGCTGAACTATGTACATGGACCTGCCAATAAGCAGCGCTCGGCCGAAGATTCATGTCAGCGAAGTCCGCTCTCTAGGAGAAGAGGCAGTCTGATAGACATTCCCTCTTGGTTTGACGGCTTGTTCATGACCCGATTATTGGGCTCAGGCCTCTCCTGCGAAGGCTCAGCTTTGAAGTTGAGGCAGGTGAGGTATGAGCTGAATTCGGGATCCGTCATGTTCCCTCCCCAAACTACGTTAGGTGACCACATTTATGCGAGAAATCTCCATATCGAACCTAGGAAAAGACTTGGTATGTACCAGAGAAGCTACAAAGAAAGGCACATCGACACCACCTTGCGCTACCACCAACACAACTTGCGATTGACAAAAACGTGGCTTTGGAGCCGCCTGACTTTGAACGAATGAAATTACTAAAGTAGCTATATTCTCAGAACATGCCTTGTGTCGTATGTATCGGCATCACATTGGTATCATCATACAAAGTAAAAAAGTATACAAAGTAAACAAACGTTAAAATAAAACCGCCCAATTCTCCCTCCCCGAGACTGAATCACGACTACTTCAGGTCCACGGGGGGAGTGACGACAATGGTATCCGGACTCGCCCCAGCAAAATCAGCATCCGGCGGCGACAGCATCATCCCCGCGTCGCCTTCGTCCAGCTGCAACGACTTCTTGGGCGTCTCAGACGCCTCGCGGATCTGGCTCAGTCGCCACTTGGTCGCTTCAACCTGCGGAGTGGAAGGCAGCACCGGTGCCGCCGATGCTGCACCCCCCTGTTGGCTCGAAGCCGTCGCCGCCGTGGAAGCGGACGAGTCGGATTGCACAACGACACCCTGCAGAGGCACCGTTTCCGGCCTCTGCTGCTGTCGGGCGACGATGTCTTGGACCCTGGCGTCGAAGGAGAGCAGGTTCGCGGCCAG